TTGCGACACCCACGGGACGGGACGATATGGGGTAGTGGATATTCTTACACCGCCATTACACGAAAATACCGTTGCGGTGATTAATTTACGTTAACACGTGCCGCAAACGTATATCTCTATGTAACATTTTATTTTCAAATCCGATTACATTATCTACCAGTGAAGTTTAATAATTTTTCTTCGCTGACATCAATCATCGCGTTGTGATAGTGGTTTTTATCAGTTTTTAGGTGACCGGGTAAGACAAAGGACCTTGATATATTGCGACATTTGATTGATAGAGTTTATATTTTTTTTTTCTTAGTGAGGAACACGAATAAAGTGAGAGATATTTACATTCTTTATGAATACATTTACTCGATTTAAATAACAAAGTTACAAATATTTATTACTTGCTCAAGAACACAATAAATGATTCATGTTATTACGCTTCTACGCCTTTTATTTCCGTTATAAATTTAATTATAATTATTTGTTAGTTGTTACTGCTAAATTATCTCTTTATTACATGTTTGTTATTAAGATTCTATATAACGAGTAAGGTACGTTGGGGTAATACCGGACGGATTTTCGAATAGTTGGAAGAGTCTGCCAAAAACTTTAATTTCTCGACATTCGTATACGTCAGATTTATGGAACATGGAGTAAACCGTTAATCGTTAAACGTAGTTTAGCTCTGAGAATCTTTTGCTTGTGTAAACTCAACGGTTTCTGCTTTAAAGGTGTGCGAAAACTAGGCATATTTTTTTATATGCATAATGAAAAATTGGCCATTAAGGGGTAAGACCGGACTTAAATTTAAAACCACTTCTACTGCTTAGAGAAAAAAGTTTATAAAAGAGATTTGTCCTATCTTTAACGCTCAAAAACATATTTCAATATGATCTATAAATTACTAGAAACATAAATGTTCCAAACGATTTTCTCTTTTTTTGTTTCTTGCCATCCGATCTTATCCCTGATATAAAGAAATTGTAATTTTATGTTTCTCAAACTTTGTTATGACAAGATGGAATTACTCAATATAAGAGAAAGATCGGATGCATTTGATTTTATATGGGAAAAAAAATAACAGTAAGGACTGGCGAAATGCCCTGGGATAATGCAGGAGTTAAGGAAGATATAAATATTTTAACAAAGCGGCATTTATTATTATAAATTATTTTTTAAATAATTATTATAAATTACATTTTGATTTGTAATAGAGGATAGACATAGATGTCTATGGGCCTCAGCAATCACTTAACATCAGGTGGACTGTGTGCTCCTTTGTCACCCTTATCCTATAAAAAAAATGTATTTTAATGGGTACTTAAAAGTAATGAAACCATCGTATTGTTTTATTACTTTTAAATATACAGACTTGCTAACGAGACTGAGTCCCATAGTCACTTGAGTAATCAACGAAAAAATATACACGACCAATGAAAGTTTAACAACCACTGCCATATTTGTAACAGGCAAAGATCGGATAATATTCATCCGATCTTCACTCACGAGGGGAAACATCGGATCTGGGCCTACAGCGATCTTACCCCTGCATGGACCAGCTTTATTTAGCTATAACTTCATAAAAATTAGTATCCACACAAAATAATAACAAAAGAAGCCATATTCTCGCTAAAAATCGTAAATAAAAGTGATAGGGAAAGATCGGATGGACAAAAATAATACAAAAATTACATTGTTTTATAAAATGCCACGCAGCACAGGTCCCACTTGCCGGAGTGACTGGCGCGAACTGAGGGTCGGGGCAGGATGAAATGGCGTCGTGTAGCATATTGTTAGCTTTTCAAAATATAGCATAATTCGCCGGGAATTTGAATCCTACGGTCTTGCCCCATCACCGATCTTACCCCAACGTACCTTATAATTTACATACAACAATATGCTCCGTAAATTAATTCAATGTTCAGTGCTAGATAAATGTTTAATATTTTCTACTTCTACACTTAATATTATAAAGAGGAAAGATTTGTTTGTTTGTTTGTTTTTATTGAATAGGCTCCGAAACTACTGGACCGTTTTGAAAAATAATATTTCACCATTAGAATCCTACATGTTCCCTAATGAACATGGGGTATAGAATATTTTCAAAAAGTTAGGGATCCGTATGAAAACTTCGTTATTGTAACCCAAGGTGTGAAAAAAATACCAAAAAGAATACTTATATCGCGTACGCTGCGGAAACTATTGACAATAAAGTAAAGTGATGTACTACTGTTGTACAGAACATCAATATCTACAAAAAAGTCCGGGATATCATATGTCTAACTATTACGGTTATGTCACTATAACTACTTTTCCATGTTAAAGTATGCAATAGTAACGCCGAAAAATCCTTATATCGCGTACGCTGCGGAAACTATTGACAATAAAGTAAAGTGATGTACTACTGTTGTACAGAACATCAATATCTACAAAAAAGTCCGGGATATCATATGTCTAACTATTACGGTTATGTCACTATAGCTACTTTTCCATGTTAAAGTATGCAATAGTAACGCCGAAAAATCCTTATATCGCGTACGCTGCGGAAACTATTGACAATAAAGTAAAGTGATGTACTACTGTTGTACAGAACATCAATATCTACAAAAAAGTCCGGGATATCATATGTCTAACTATTACGGTTATGTCACTATAACTACTTTTCCATGTTAAAGTGTGCAATAGTAACGCCGAAAATTTCTTATATCGCGTACGCTGCGGAAACTATTGACAATAGAAGAAAGTGATGTACTATAGTTTTATAGAGAACATCAATATCAAAAAAAAGATTTGCTATATAATATGTTTAACTATTAGTTATGTCACAATAACTATTTTTTCATATTAAAATATGCAATAGTAACGCCGAAAAATCCTTATATCGCGTACGCTGCGGAAACTGTTGATAATAGAGCAAAGTGATGTACTACAGTTTTATAGAGGACATCAATATCTACAAAAAAGTCTGCGATACCACATGTCCAACTATTACGGTTATGTCACAATAACTACTTTTGCATGTTAAAATGTGCAATAGTAACAGCGATACAAAATAGGCCACATTATTCGTACCTTGGTATTAGTCCTTATATGCAAATAAATCACTTCTTATTCAAGGCTATATCAGTACTTGTACCATGCATAACCACCAGTTAGGTTAACCGTGTAATTTAAGTAAGATTTTTTATTTTGTAAATCTTTATTAATTCAGCAACCGTCCGTCGTGATGTCTCTCGAAGATCGCATGTCGCGAGGCGCAGACGCGTGATATACGTGATATACAGATGGGTGAAACCGCGGGGTACAGCTAGTCATAAATATTATTTGTGATGTAGTGTTGTGCCCACACGACATAATTATATATTAGAGTTAGGTTTAGAATAAGGAGCCGTCTAATTAACGTCCTAGACAACAACATACGTCTCCTTCTCATTGATACCTTCCAATTTTACTTTTTTTTTCAAATCCGATTATATTTATGTCGTGTGGGCTACACTACAAACACTACATCACAAATAATATTTATGAAGTAGAAAATATTACGAGGGCGACACTGAAAGTTTTTAGAACTGGTCACATGTAAACGATATAATAAAAATATAAGTTTAAATTTTGAAAATGGAACTCTTTGTCAATATTATTGTGTATGTATTTTATTAATTTGTCATTTGTTTACGATTTCGCGGCAAATTGAAAATTATCTGCGTCACGTCAGCATGAATTTAACGAGAGAAAATTTTCGTACAATGATTTTTTATGACTTTCGATGTCATTTAAGTCAACAAGAAAGTTATGATAGACTTCGATTGGCCTTTCACGATGAAGCCCCATCTCGTGCCACTGTTTACAACTGGTTTAATTAGCTTAAACGTGGTTATACTAATCTTACCGATGATCTGCGTGAAGGACGGCCGTCTACGGCGACGACTGAAGATAACATCAGTGTTGTGCGGCGTATGATAGAAATTGACAAAAGAGTGACTTAACAGCAGATTCGAACAAGGTTAGGTATCGGTATGAGTCAAGTACACAAAATCATCCATGAACATTTAGCGGTCAGGAAGCTTTTTGCCCAGTGGATACCTCATAATTTGACAGAGACCCAAAAATTCCGTCGTTTTGATTGGTGTCGTGAAATGGTTTAAAGGTTTAACGGAGGTGACTCAAATGCTGTATTCGATGTACGTACGGGTGACGAAAGCTGGATTTATTGTTATGATCCTGAAACTAAGAGACAGTCTGCTGTCTGGATGTTTCCTTCCGAGGAGTTGCCAACTAAAGTGAAGAGAGGTCGAAGCGTGGGAAAAAAGATGGTGTCTTCGTTCTTCGGAAGGACAGGTCATTACGCAACAATTATTTTAGAGGATCGAAACAGTTACTGCAGAGTGGTACACTAACAATTGTTTGCCACTTGTCTTGAAAAAAGTTCGGGAGAAACAACTTCGCAGTAGGATCCTCCTTCACCACGACAACGCCTCGTCTCACAACGTCAAGCAAACAATCGACTACTTGGCGACGTCAGACGTGGAATTACTAGGTCACTCGCCCTATAGCCCCGACGTCGCACCTTGCGATTTCCGAAAATTTTCCGAAAATAAAAGAAAATCTTCAAGGAAAAAGTTTTATAGACGTCTAGGAAGCAGTGGCTGCGTTTCAAAATACCGTCGAAGAGACCCCTAAGGACGAGTGGGCAAAGTGCTTTTCTCAGTGGTACCATCGGGTGCAGCGATGTATTGATGTAAAAATTTTAGTGTTGAAAAGATATATTAAAACTAATAACTTGCTAGTTAGTTCAGTTTTTTATTTTCTAAGAACTTTCAGTGTCACCTTATTATTCCTTCATCTTGAATCATTCTGTCTACTGATGAAAACCGCCTTAAAATTCCTCGCGTGGTTTAAAAGATCTAAGCGTTCAGATGGCGGGAAGCAACTTTGTTTTAAACTATGTAGAGATAGAGATATTTTAAACGCTGAAGTCGACCTGATTAATGTATTGATGTATTTAACAGAGTGGCGTGCGGTGGCAACGCTGGTAATCTACCACCCGCTGATCACGACGACGACCTGACCAGCCTCAGTTGGCTACAGGACCGAAATTTACTCAGAGGTTAGTTGAGGATACTGTATCAATACATTTCGAATTGTCGATGCACTCACTTTCCATTATTTTACTTATTTTTTTTAAAATAATTGACCTAGTTTTTGTATTCTATAAGGAGTTTATAGGAATTAACTTTAAAATTATTATTCAAATGTTATTATTCGCCAATGCAAAATTCGGCGAATAATAACATATATAATAACAAAATCATATATTCTTAAAACCTGATAAAGCAATATAATTTTAAAGAACTAGGCTGCAACAAAATAAAGCATTACCTAAATACAATTTTGATATAATAATCTAGTTTGAAGTGGTTTGCGCTGCGTCATAGAAAAATATTTAACGTAAATTTGTCCTTGTAAAGATATTTTCGGATTCTTCACGAACTAGTAGAAATTTAATGTAATGTTCAAAATTTCAGGAATTAACCTCACAAAAAATGACATGGAAGATACGAAGACAATCACAAGTCAAGTTGTGATGAAGGTAGGTGATTTTGATTTTAATTTAAAAAGAAATTCCTCTTATAAATTTTTATTTCTCGGCACATGAAATTTGAAAAAAAAATATAAGTATTCATTAAATTGTTACTTTAAAAGAAAATTCAACATATTTATGCATTCATAATGAGAAAAATTCCACTGTGGTAACAGCGAAAATTAAGATTTCGTTCTATGGGGGTCGTACAAACATTTTATTGGCTTCCGACAATTAAAGAGGCCTGTATCTGGCAGTGGAGAACTAGAAAGCAAGTAACCAAACTTGAATCTGTTTCAAAACTACACACATTTCCGTATGTGGTTAACGGTTAGGGGGAAAGCAAGCTTTCCTCAGATGCTGTCTTAAATTAGAAAGAGGCGATAGAGGAAAATTGAAAAAGGACATGGGCGGCAGCATTTTTCTGATAACGTAAATAATAATAAAAAACTCGGCCTGCCAAGCGCGACAACTATGGCATAATATCTCCTTTGATGATCTGTAAAAAAGACATTGCGTGATTAATTTGACAATTATACATTTCACTTACGAAATTCCGAATACATTATAAGACTTCTGGAACTTTGAATGAATCAAAAGTAACAAAACTGTTTTATTCGTTACAATTTTATAAATTGTTTTTTTATATAGGATAGGGTGACAAACGAGCACACAGTCCACCTGATGGTAAGTGGTTGCTGTGGCCCATAGACATCTACATTTATCCACGTTTGCGAATCAAAATGCAGATGCGTTGTCACCCGTGAGGACTAAGATAGAATGCCTCTTTTCCAGTAAAAAGGGTCTCCGGTTCTCTACACTCACCATACGAAACACAGCAGCATGAAGCCGCTATTTGACGCTGGTATTCTGTAAGAGCGTGGTCCTTCCCCGGTCGAGCCGACCCATTAGTGCTACAACTATACTACTAATATAGCTGCAGCATGGCTCTACCACGTTTAAAAAAAAAAAAAAAGCTTTTACAAAAATTTACTTCGCAAATATCCGCGTTATAAAATAAAATGATGTGTCTTACCTAGTATGAAGAAGCACCTCCCGCCCTCCCTCAATTGCGTGCACTATCCCCGTCACCACTAATCCCAGCACCGCTACTTCCAACACCACTACACTAAGCGGTACGGTGGCTAACCGCTAAGCGGTTAGCCACCGTAGAGTCTATATCACCTGAGGATGCCTCGTGTAGAGGCGAAACACGTGTCGTATTATCGTCAGTGGTGTGTCTTGCCTAGTGTAGTGGTGTTGGAAGTAGCGGTGCTGGGATTAGTGGTGACGGGGATAGTGCACGCAATTGAGGGAGGGCGGGAGGTGCTTCTTCATACTAGGTAAGACACATCATTTTATTTTATAACGCGGATATTTGCGAAGTAAATTTTTGTAAAAGCTTTTATATAATGGATTTCCGCAAAGTAACGCCTGATTCTATTAATTATATCTACCACGTTAAAAAAAAAAGTGTTTTTTTGTTATTAGTACCGTATATACTTTCATAATATGCATTTAGTAAAAAGCTGTTATTTTAACGTTACAAAGAGACACTTAAATTTTATTTGTATAGATCACTAGTGTACATATATATAACTGTTACGCCAATAATGTGTTAAATACAATAATCATATTATATTATGAACAATGAACAATAATAAAAAGCAACTGTATAAAGCTGCGACTGCAGCAAAACACGCACTTATGACTTATGATAAATGTAGTTCAGTGTTGTTTACTCAAGTGCATTCGAGGTTCTACGCGATCGATAAATTGTTCGTAATTTACCTTAATTACCGGGGAGGGGCGGTGTTAGAATATTCACTACCCCATAATACCGTCCCGTAGGTATCGTAAGAGACGAAATACGAAAACAAACTAGGAAATGGGTAGCAGCATCTTCCTGACAACGACTCCAAAAATAAAAACTAGGGTAGCCAACCCGCTTGCCAAGCATGGCACCTATGGCAAATATCTCTCTATCGGGGAGGCCTACGTTTAGCAGTGGACTTTAAAAAGGTTGTAATAATGATAAACTTCAATTTACGAATCCGCAAGCTCATTTTTAAACTTATGTAGGTATTTTATATTGTGTCATGTCGTAAATAAAGTCATTATTTTTAATCTACGTTTGTCTGTTACTGTGTTATACATACAAATAAATAAAATTGAAATTTCTAATATTGAAGTGTCTAAATAACAGCTTTTAACTAAATGCATATGAAAGTATATACGGTACTTATAACAAAAACACAACTTGTTAAAAAAAATTATCTGCCGGTCTGTCTCTTTGTTCCGGCTAATCTCCGAAATGGCTGGACCGATTTCGATGGGACTTTCACTGGCAGATAGCTGATGATATAAAAGAGTAACTTAGGCTACTTATATATTAGAAAAATAATTAGGGTTCCGCGCAACATAGTTAAAACCCTAAATTACACGCGGGTGAAGGCGCGGGGAACAGCTAGTTTTAAATAAAATATCGCTATGTAGTCAATAACGAATAAGTATCACCCATGAGTGGCGTAAGACAAAAAATCTCACGGTGTTCTTTTATGGCAGAGAAATATAACAATATTAGGCTACTTGATACAGTAGCTGAACTAATTGGCATCTCGTAAAGTTATACGAGCGTTTTGAGACTAATATTTTAAAATCTATTAATTGAGGACATCTTCGAACGTTTGCACGTGGATTTAAGATTGCAGATCTATCACAACTGGAGTTGCAGTCTATTTTAAGAAACGATGATTTTTCAAACTATTACTTTCTTTTCCTCTTTTTTTCTCCAGTCTCAGTCGCACATAAAGTAAGTTTTACTAAAGAAGTTCCTCAGCCACGGGTGCTTGCAAAATTTTACATTTACTGTCAAAATATTTATTTTTAGTTCGCATATCTTCCGCGGGACTTCTTTCGTGGAACAGACCTTATCGGTTTTATCCTTTTTTTTAGGTTAAGGATGACAAACGAGCACACAGTCCACCTGATGGTAAGCGGTTGCTGCGGCCCATAGACATCTACATCTATTCTCGATTACGAATCAAAATGCAGATGCGTTGTCACCCGTGAGGACTAAGATAGAATGCCTCGTTTCCAGTAAAAAGGGTCTCCGGTTCTCTACACTCACCATATGAAACACAGAAGCGTTAAGCTGCTATTTTACGTTGGTATTCTGTGAGAGCATGTTCCTTCCCCGGTCGAGCCGACCTATTCGTGCTACAACTATACCTACTACTAATATAGCTACAGCATGGCTCTACTACGTAAATATCTAATTAAGTAATGTAATATCATGAATAATATTAAATATATTATGTACCATTTAACGCATTTTTCTGCAGCAAACAGAAGCATCGAAAACACCCCCGCCGGTGGCCCGGGTGCCGTCTCCCCCACGTACTCCTTGTAAAGCTCCCCCCTCCCCTCCAGCTTCTACTACTCTCACAAAACCCCCATATTCGTTTTCTTGCCTTATCTTTATGGCAATAGAAGCTGCCCCCACTCGTGCTCTGCCCGTCAAGGAAATATACGCGTGGATCATCCGCCATTTCCCCTACTTCAAGCACGCACCACAGGGTTGGAAGAACAGCGTTAGGCATAATCTTTCACTCAACAAATGTTTCCATAAGGTGAGTTGTCATAACATACTCTTAAGTTAATCTTCATTAAATGTTGTCCCTAATAGACTATTATGTAGAGTCCACATTTCCTTACTTTAAAACCCTCGAAGAAATAGGAGGAACTCTGTCCACAGCATATGAAACTTATGTAGACTTGTTACTTTACTTTGTCAAAATGTAGAGTTCGCCAATGTTATTAAAGAAGTCGAAAATTTTCATGTCATATCCATTTATTGTAAGAATATTTTTTATTCCTGCAAATGACCTTTTAATTAAAATTTGATAGAATCTAAATAAAAAATGTAATAGCTTTGTTGCTATGGTATAAATTTGGTACGAGTGTTACAAATTTCTTTTCTCATTACAGGTAGCTGCAGCACCTGGCCTAGGCAAAGGGTCTCTCTGGACGGTTGACCCACAGCATCGTTCGACATTACTACAAGTAATTTTTTTACTTTTCTGTACTTGTACTATTCTATAACTATTCTGTGTCTGAGATAGACCTACGCGCCGCGCCCTGCCCACGCCGCGCCGCGCCGACAAATCCGATCGGCGCGCCGAGAGCCAACGCGGGCAGGGCGCGCGGGCGCGAGATCAATGAAACCGTGCAATTATTTAAAAATTCAAAAATTAATAAAAAAAATGTAAAAAGATCGTAAAAATCGTTTGGTATCGCTTACCGGAATTGAAGCGAGCGGCGGAAATAGAACAAATTAAATTTTTACAGTCTCCGGAGCGCGTATCAGAACATTTGGAGATGGACGAGAATGAGCCAATTATTGATGATGAGAGTCAAATTATTGATCAGAGTCAAATTCAATTTCAGGACTTGTAGTAGTCCTGCGATGAATTTGGTAACATGAATCATGTACCAATACCAAATATCAAAACATCTTCGCTAATCCGCTGGCATAGTATACTAGCTATGCTAGAAAGTCTAGCACACTTTTGCCACAGAAATCCTGTTTAATCATATTTTGTCACAGATCAGTCAACATGATTTAAAAATTCACCAGCAAGAGTGGAACTTGTTAGAAGATCTTATTCGATTTTTACGTAAATTCCGTAAGGTCGTGAAAATGCTATCGACACAAATGACAGCTCCTCTTTGGCCCTGGTATTTCATTTGGAAATTAGAGATATCCTCAATTCTTTGTCTGACGAAGAAACACTAATAATGCTAACACTGAAAAATAATATGTTAGTAAAATTAGACAAAAGATACCCAATTACTAATAAAATTGTTGTTGCGGCACTGTTGGATCCTCGGTTCATAAATTTAAGTCAGATTGATTCGTATCTCGAACAAAAAATACTACTCGCGCTGCATTTCTAGCAGAGTACATAAAAAGACAGGTCAATATTTCAGGTGAATCCACGACTACGGCCACATTAGCTCCTGCTGTTATTGCTAGTTCTTCCAATGAATCTGTTTTGTCAAAGCTTTCGAAAAAACACAGCTGCAGCGGCACCTCCTCTATTTTCACTTCTACTGAGTGTAATGAAGCTGATCAAGAATGCTGGAGGTACTTGGCAGCTGCTAATACTTGTGATGTTAAAGTCGACGACATTTTAAATTACTGGCAAAATAAGAAAAATCATTTCCGCTCTTGAGCAAACTTGCGAGGATAATGCTGGCAATTCCTGCTACTAGCACGCCAAGTGAGCGTGTTTTTTCGATAGTGGGACTAACTGTGACTGCTAAATATTTAGACTAAGCTCAGTACGCGTTAATAAAATTATTATTATTCTTGATAATCATACATTGTACAAAAAACACAATTTCAATTTCCTATAATTTGTGCAAAAACGAAAAAGCACATCTTTTCGTTTTTGTACAAATTATAGGAAATTGAAATTGTGATAAGAGAGTGAGGGCGATGTAGGAGTAATCAAACAGACTGTATGTCGTCGTCTGCGTCCCTAATTAACCGTGCGCCCCTAGGCACGTGCCTAGTTTGCCTTAAGGATGATCCACCACTGAGTGCCTGTCTATACATAGAAAACTTATCCAATAATCTGGTGTTTCCTATAATTATTTGCCAATTGGCGGAGAAATTTGGGTGCGGGATTACCGAGCGCCTACTGTATACGAAAATATTTGGTCGTGGAACAGGCGTTCGGGCGGCAGCCAGTGCCGCCGGCGGAGAGCGAGCCCGAGGCGGCGGCGCTGGACGGCGGCAAGAACGCGCCCGACCCGCAGCTGTTCCCGTACCTGGCGCGCCGCCTGGCCGCCGACGCGCGCCCGCAGCCCGGCGCCGACGAGTACCTCGCCGCCGCCACCGTGCTCGCCATGAAGTACGGGCCCGCCGTGCTCGACCAGGTCTCTTTTACAACTGTATTTTGCATTTCACGGTATAAAAACATGTTACAACTTAGTGCAGTCGTGTTTCGCTAACAATAGCATGCTAATTATAATTTTAAAATTTTTAGATGCCAATATTAATAATAATTTAAATTAAAAAAAAAATTCTTAATAATCATCTAAACAAATCTTTTAAGTCATAAAAGCAATAAGTTTTTAACCAATTATACTAATGTTTCTTATATAATCTTTCGCTTATTCTTTAGGTATTTTATTATATATTTTATTTTAACACACAAATTAGGCATATGGTGTTAGTTATATTTAACAAGCCTAGGAATGACATCTAGGACAAGTTTGTCTGGGTCGCGTCGATTTCGAGGATAGATATCACTTGCTTTAACAAATAATGACTTATTTTTAAAAACAAGCGTCAACTTCTTAAATGTATGGTGACGGGAGGGGTATTATACCAAGTCTTTTAAATAGCAATTTACAGGATACCTCTGTCGATATCTCGCATATTGCACGAATACATTTTTTTTTTGGCAACGAATGCTCTATTTCGTTTAGTACCATTACCACATATTATAAGGCCATAGCGTAAAATAGACTATATGTTGCAATTGCCGTTTTAATATTTGTAATGTTTTTGATGTGTTTATGGGAATATACAAATTTATTAATTCTATTGCATACGTTATCTATTTGTTCTTTCCAGTTTATATTTTCATCTAACTTTACTCCCAGAATTTTTGTCATGTAGCTTCTTTTAGTGATTTGAATTGATAAATTTATGAAATTGTTTATAATGAGATTTATCTAAGTTAATTTTCAAATTAATTATGTCAAGCTATTTTATAAGAGTGACAATTGTATTATTAATGTCATCTTCATAATTTCTAATTGTGTTATTATTTTTATTACAAGTCACAATAATTGAAATGTCTACAGCGTACAGAATATCTACATTTATGATTCATAATGTCAACAATGTCATTAATATATAATTGGATTAATAAAGAATCGGTCCTAATATACTTCCTTGCGGAACGCCGAATATTTACATTTATATCCAGATGAATAAGATGTCAGGTTATTGTGTTTTCGTTTATCACTCTTATCGTATAAAAATAAATAGTTGTTCAATGTAATCAAATAGTATAGGCATGTAATTAACTTAAGAAGTCCTAGGCAGCATGTAATAGCGGCACACTTTTCAGCTGCCGCCTGCGGCGCACCTGGTGATCTCGCGGTGCGCGCGCGACGAGCACTCGTACAGCGGCGGCGGCGAGGGCGAGGGCGGGGGTGAGGGTGAGGGCGAGGGCGGGTGCGAGGAGCGGCGCACGGCCGAGGCGCTGCTGAACCTGGCCGGCGTGCGCTGCGAGCCGCCGCCCGCGCCCAGCTAGCCCCGAGCGCGCTGCCGCCTGCCGCAAGCCGCGCACACCGGGTAGGCCACCACCCCACGCCCACATACACTGTTCACGCGAACAACACACTTGCGAAACGCCACAATGTGCTGCTACTTGACTTGGATTGTATCTTGAATATTACTCACGTTACGGGATATCTGAACAAACCACTGCTATTCATCTCAAATTGTATACCTTCAATATAACCCGCGCTACGGTATCCGGATAATGCACTGCTATCCGATTCAGATTGTGTTTTCAATAGCTCGTGCAATCACACGACGGCTTTTTTATCTATGTGTTGCGCGAAAAGAACTTACTTAGGATTAAAGAATTGCATGAATCAATGAGTTTTTTGTATCAATAAAAAAAACTATTTTGTGTAGTGTCTATACCTAAACTTATAATCTAGATGTAGACACTTTACCGCCACGACGCGGTACTTTACGTCTAATAGAGGAAATAGATCTCAATGCTACATCTATGGATAGTCGTGAGCGAAATCTTGACCTGCACAATAATCCATTCATAGATCTCTTAATAAACTACCGAAGCGTGGCTCAAGGACGATAAAAACTTTTTAAACGATTGGTCGTCAATCAATCTTCGTTCTTCACGTATCGTAAGAGTACATGCACGAACTCGCCCCACTGCTATCCCTCCGTGCTCACAACTCGCGCCGCTATCTAGTAAACTTGTTTTAATCAACATTTATTATTGTTTAACCCTAGGAGTAACCAACGCTCCTTGTTGTCAAACGGAGATGGCAGAGTCGTTTTAAAACTTATATAGCGTGATTTTAAGCTTCGGTTATTGTTGTATCGGATAAATAGCGGTATATCAACTGCACATGCCTAATCTAAATGTACAGTATTACCAATGTAAAGATATTCGCTTTGAGCTCACTAAATCAAGCTTGGTTGGTATGCACAAATCTTTCAAAGTATTCATGATTCATGCTACTTGGTGCGTTCCTAAAAAAAGCTATATCCAGCAATGGTTTAGAAATACTTATAAAAAGAAGATATAAATCAATAGTTTATGTATAAATATACAACTTCTCCGCTTAATACTTAACCGGCATACTTAAACAAGTATACTAGAAGTATGCACGATCTACATCTAGTAGCAATATATTGGAGACGTTTTACAAGTCTGTTGTTACATTTACATGCTCGTAACTGACATCAACTTTATTATTATTTACTGATATTCAGCCTTGAAAAGAACGTCAGTTCAATTAAGTTCAGTGTTTTATTTAAAGTGCTCTAAAAATTTTATTTTTGATGCAGTTTTAAACGCTGTCTCAATGTTGCCAGTTTCAATTTCTATATAATATCAGCCTATCAGACGTCTCATTGACGTGAAAATAAATGTATAGATGATTTTATTAAATGTATTTCTCTCATATTTATTGAAACCGATTTCAAAAAATTCGCATTTTATATAAAAATATTTTTTTTTCTAAAATAATAGCATTATTTTAACTGTACTGTTTATTTCTATAAACTGCTCAATGTTTGTTTAGGACAATTAACATTTAGTTACCTCGTAAAAGAGTACGACCCTTTCTTAGAGAAAAAAATTGATTACAGCTTGGGCAAAGCTCCAGCTTCTTCATTGTTGACATTTCCGTTCTTAGAACGATTATAAATTGGAAATTTGTCGCTTTAAACATTTAAATAGATTAAAATGTTTACCATACTCTAGTCCAATAAAGACACCTTTTCCAATAATTTCGGTAGTGTATACACTGATATCTACTATGATATTAAAAATAAATTATTAAAATAATAAAGAAAATATATCACCTATATATTTAGATACAAGATACTTACTCGTTAGTTAGTGTCAACTCTTTCCATTTGTTTTATTTACGAGAGCTACATCACATTAAGGTAATTTTTTTATCTGATTCAATTTACCCAGTATAAATGGAATTTTGAATGTGAATTACCACTAAAAATATTCAAACAATAATTTCTCCATAGAGAACTATCTCGACTTTCTGTCAATAGTTCCTTATGGTAGTAACTTCATAGTGATAGATGTGATAATACTTAGTATAAATTATTATTTAAAAATAATTTGAAATAGTTGAATAGATCCTCCTGCATTTAGAATTCCCATGTTACTAATTAGTCAAATATTCATAATACTGGTAAGAATATTGTATTGTAAGAATAAATAATGGTGTTGCTATTTCCGATGTTCTGAATACCGAATATTGCCAGTATGATTTTCTTATTAATTTTTAGCTGTCTTATAGCAAAGCAGAAATAAATCGGCGGAAATGTTACACACTGTAGACTTTAAGCTTATAATAGTTGTGTAAATTATTTTGTTTCCTACTAACTTATTATGGCAATGTTGAAAATTATATGAACTCTATTCTAAACCGAGCAATATAGGTGTATACATTTCGATTGTATATGTGATCTGAACGCTAACATATATTATACAAAATGTTGTATACAGGGCCGATCAAAATATAATATTTAATGTATCCACTTACTTATGTTGGAACGGTGATAAAAATCTTATATATTATATGTAATTAATTATAATAACATAACATTAATATATTTGTGAATGCTCTAGCTATAAGCTATGTATATCTTGTGTTCATAAACCTTGTGATCAACCATCCAATCAATTTTATCGTAATATTGTGTGTTAAAAACTGTAAAACCTGTCTTATATTTGGTTTGTTACTTTATACTTCACATTTAATGGGCAAAATAATTTCTCACATTTCAATCCAACATAAATTGTAACAAGAAATGGTTTATTAAGTAGGGTACTTTGTTCATCTGACTTGATTCTACTGTTTATGTTAATAAACGGCAAGAAGGATATTTGTGACTATCCTCCTTGCCGTTTATTAACATAAACAGTAGAATCAAGTCAGATGAACAATTTTTAATATAATCAATTGTTTCTTTTGCTTCTTCAAGGATGTTTTTCTAGATGTAGCGGGCTTATAAAATATATAGCCTTTTTAATGTGTACACCAATTAGCGTAATGTATGTTAAATTTTATAAGGATACATTTTTATTTTCTTTTTAATGCTTATTTGAAACTTTTGACAGCTAACTAACTTCAAAAAGATATAATTCATTTCATGCTAAGTAAATGTCAACTGTACAAACCAACACTCATTATTTTGAATTGAATTGTTTTAAATAAATTTTATCATACTATAGGTATTCTTATATTATACCAGACTGAAAAATATGACTGATCACAGATGAAGCAATATTATTTGTTAGAGTAAATTATTTTAATCGCAAGTTTCTAAAATTCTCTCTTATGATATTTATTTTGCTATTATAAAAAATAAATATATGATGTCATAATCTCAGTCCCACAAAGAACGACAGACGGAGCGCTGACTACATTTTAAGTGACACCAAAGTATGTTTGACTTATTGTAAGAACACGTTCTCACACACACATGCATCTTAAATCATAACAAGTATATATGGTTTTGGGCGCATATGTGTCCACCCAGTTGTGAATTTTCACGAGATGTTAAAGAAAGAAGAAGATAGAAGTGGACTTGAAATATATGCAGCGCTTCGTCTATATTTGTGTTTTAGTCTGAGGTCGTAATTTAGTAAAAATAAAAAGTTTTCTCATGCAATGTAATAATAAAACCTTATCATTAGACAGGTAAATGTTTTGTGTGCCAAATGTTTTAATAACACTATTATGCAGTATAGCAAGCGAATCCAAATAATAGATACCAGTAACCAAGAAAATAAATGTATTTGTATGATACATAGAATATATATTGTAACGCGTAAGTAGATTAGGCTATAAGTGATATTATAGCAATCTAATTAAATTGCTAAATATTTAAATACATTTTGCTGTATTTAGGAGCGTCTTCCATCTTAATCATATGTTTTGTTTCTTCTTAGATAACTTCGGGTACGGGAAAAAGTCTATGTATAAAACATAATACAATCTCTTGCTCATGTTTAAAGTTGCATTCAATAAGAGTACAAATTTAAATTTACACTATTTACTCTTGGTTTTACTTTATTTTGCACAGTTGGTTAGAATTTAAGTATCAACTTATTGATTTTAGTTAACTTGATATGTTTTATGTTATTTTAAAAATATCTATGCATTGCCTTTTTCCCGGCACTACGATCTCATTAGCCTTTCTTTCGGTGTTAATAAAGAAATGTAGATAAAATTTTACAGCAATAATTAGTACCTAATTGTAGTACTTCGCTGGTAGATGCTACGTGTATAATTATGTGTGATATATTGCGATTTTATTTCCTAAGTGATGTGTTTAAATCAAATTTTGTAATCATAAACTACTTTTAAAAAATTCAAAGAACTGCGCGCACCTTTATAAGATAAAGATGTATGCGGTGTCGGGGGGTTTATTACCAAAGTTGTTTATCTTTACAAAATGCCTTTCTAATAAAGTTATATCAAAATGATATTAAAATTGTTGCGGCTCATACTTTATTGCGAAAATTATTCTTAATTATTATTAATTTATTTCCTAGGTTAGCGAAAATATTTTTATAGTGTAATGCTCAGTTTGAAAAACTATTTTTAATGAATTTTTTAATCCTTTTTTGATCGTTTTATAAAAAAGGCGTTATTTTAATCGTTAAAAATAGACTAGAGCGGAGTTTGAGTGTTCTGTTGTAAACCAAGGGCACTTAAAAAAACAGCTGACTGCAACATAAAACTGTGCGTTCACAGAGCTGCATTTTAAGTAAAGAAATTATTATTGTTACTGTTAATATGTTCGCCGGCTTACAAACGATACCACTCTTTATTATTATTATTGCTATTGTTGAGAGTTATTGCGAAATTTTTATTTGCCTAAAAATCTTTGTCTTTGTACATATCTATTAAATAAATTATGTACCGAGGATCAACGTGTGTTTTAATTTCTTACAATCTTTATCATTTAGTTAGTGGTGAATGTAGTCTTACATTTCTTTATTAAAAGGCTGGGATTGGATGATGGATTGGAAGATCTAAAAAAATCATTTAAGAAAAATCAAATCCACAAAAATCATATATTTATATGTTACACTAGATAAGTAATTGCCGCGCCAAAGCGTTGCCACTTCACATATGGCCACAGCCATATGTAAACGTAGTGATTATATTCTCTTTGGCCATATGCCCAAGCAACATCGGTTCAGTGTTTAATGCGACGCCGACCGAGTTGAGCCGAACGATTCACGACAAAAAAATAGGTAAATGCGTAGTGAAAGAATGCGATTCAAGGTCACAAAAACATAATTAATCAAGCGGAATCACTTTCCATACGTAAGTTTTAATTTATGTTTTCATAGTAACCTAAAAAACACAAAAAAATGAAATAAAATATCGCATATGGCAATGTTCACTGCCGATTTCTCACGCCAGATGGCGTATCATCGACATGGCCATTGAGAACTGTCAGATCCATACGTTTCATAACCTACCATATTGTTAATTTTAGTTTTCTCGAAATATGCCTCTTTGTGCTGTACCAGGATGCGCTAACCCCGGTGTACATTTATTTCCCAAAGATCCAACATTAAAAAAAAAGTGGGAAAAGGCTATAAGACGCAAAAATTTTGTAGCGACACAGCATAGCAGGTTATGTCGGAATCATTTCCAAGAATCTGATTATGTAGGAGAATCAGCCTACACAGGTGTGTTATTTCATTCATTATTATTAATTATAGATTCTACTAGTGGTTTTTCGAAAGTTGAACCACTTGCCCAAAGCCCACTTATATAGGTAGATACTTAAGTAGTTTTTTGTTTAAGTTTTTGTGAACGAAATCCCGGGTAAAGGCTAGGAAGTAAATAAACCAATAATGAACCAATAAAATAAATAATGTATGTAATATATGCCTCCATACATCGGATTATGGTGTTAAATTCATAAAATCTATTTTACTCATGTACAGTAAAGTTATTTGAATAATTTAAGGTAATCTGTACTATTTTTCTCAATTTTTGTTGTTGACAGGACATCCTCAAATATGCAAGTTTCTGAAAAAGGGAACTGTACCAAGTATATTCCCTTGGTCCACCCAGGTGTCAACAACACCTACATCAAGAACCAGTCGTTATATGAAAAGAAGCAGACGCATACTTGATTTTATACAACCATCTGTAGAAGAAAGTGTTCCAGAACCGTCTTCTAGCGCTGAAATTGAAATATCTACTATAGAGGGCTCCTTAGAAGATTTTACACCAAAAACAGTGTCTGTTAGCACTCAATGTGGTAGTTCTTTTGGAATCTTATCACTAGAGGCCATGAGAGGCAATCCACAGGCTATTCATTTTTATACTGGGCTAGAAAAATATGAAAAATTTATGTTGGTGTTAGACACATTAAGTCCCATGTGTAATAATTTAAATTACAGGGGAAGTAAAGTTATCAATGTTTGTATCGGTGACCAACTGTTGATAACACTAATTAAGCTTAGAAGGTACATGCCAGATTTTGAGTTGGCATTTTTATTTGGTATTTCCCAAACTACTGTTGCTAATATTTTTGTAACATGGATTAATTTTATGTATAAAATATGGTCTTTAATTAATATTTGGCCAAGTAAAGAATTGGTTCAATATTATATGCCAGAGTCGTTTAAAGGGGTTTTCCAAATATTAGGATTATTGTGGACACAACTGAAATACCCATCACACGGCCTGGGAATCCAGTAGCACAGCAGGTGACCTTCAGCAGTTACAAACATAAAAACACTGTGAAGGCTATGATTGGAGCAACACCTGGAGGTCTTATATCATATGTCTCTGAATGTTATGGAGGTTCAGTCAGTGATAGACAGATTATAGAAAGATCCAAACTAATAAATATGTGTGACTAATAGAGATGATCAGTCAGAAGAAAAGAAACTCAGTAGAAAACGCCGTAGAAACGAGAGTGGGTGGTAAGAAAAAGCTACACCAACAAACGTACAAAAAAGTATATCCAGCAAAAACCATGGGACCTGTATGTTCTTGTAAAAAAATGCAAGAAAAGTTCTCTGAACAGCAGAGGAAAACTATATTTTAATTTTTTTATAAAATGGGTGATCACGAACTACAATGGCAATTTATTAATAGATACACAATAGCAAAACCAATAAAGAAAATGACTATAGACAGAAAACAAAACAGGACCCAAACTATCAATTATAGCTTTCCATTAGACGAGTCAGAAATTACTGTTTACAAGGTTTATTTATTAAATACTTTAAAAATATCAGAACAGTTTGTTTATACAGCATTGGAAAAAACAAAAAATAATGAAGGTATGATTGATCAGAGACAGAGTCACGCAAACAGGCCTCAAAAGATGATTAACTTGACGAAACAAAGCATAATTGACCCCGTTAGTTTCTTTCCAGCAGTATAGTTTAACTACGTCAGAAAATGCTCAAAACGGCAATATTTGTCAGAGCAACTTAAAATTTCAAAAATGTACCGATTATATGAACTGTGGTTTCCAAACCAAAATTTGCCAGAAGATTGGAAAGCTACAATGCAACGGTATGGGTCTGTGTTCAATACAGAATTCAATTACTCTTCCTTTCGGCCAAAAAAGGATAAGTGCCCAACATGTACCCTTTATGACCTAGCAGACGAAGAAAAAAACTATCACTAGAGGACGCATACAGAAAGCATATAAACAAAAAGGAGACTGTTCGTAACATAAAAAACGAAGAAAAATTGAGCACAGATGAAAAAACACTACTATTGCGGCGTTTGATCTGAAAAAAGTTTTGAGTGTGCCATAGTCCGAAGTGGGCACTTTTTATTATAAAGGAAAATATGCAGTTTATAACTTTACTGTTTGATTTAATGCGCAAAGCCAGACATTGTTTTGTGTGGCATATGTCTATTGGAAAGAGAACCTCTCTTTTACCGAAATTGGTAGTTGTTTATTAAAATTCATCCAGGAAGAACAACTAAGAGGAATCGAAAATTTTTCATTTTATTCTGATGGTTGCGCCGGCCGAAATAAAAATCGCTTTATATTCGCCCTATACCTGTATATCGTACAAGTTTATGGAGTGAAAACTATAACGCACCGATTTTTTGAGACAAGGCATAGTCAAAATGAAGGTGATAATATGCATTCATGCATAGAGAGGGCTATGAAAAATAAAATACTGTATACTCCAGAGCAAGTTTATGGTGTAATTTCAAACGCGAAAATCTCGCATCCAAAATATAAGATCAATGAAATGGAGCAGGTGGATTTCTACGATATAAAAGATCTTATTAATGGAAATAATTGGTTGAAATACACCGAAGGACGAAAAATTAAGTGATCGGAATTGATGGAGGTGAGAGTTTCTCATTTGAAACCAACAATTTTACAGTATAAGTTGGAACTCGAAAATGAGCCCTTTGAGTTGAATACAAAATGGACCAAACCGAAAAGAGGGCGAAAATCCATCGCCGACGAGGTACAAACCCTTAAAAATATTTACAGCCATCCGTCACCCGTCACCAAGGCCCTGCTTAATGACCTGAAGTCTCTGTGTGATAGTGAGGCCATCCCAAAATATTATCACAGTTCTTATAATAATTTAAATTATGCCGACATCATACCTGAGGAACAAGAGTAAGATTTAAATTAAAATTGGGTTACCTACTTGTAACATTTTTAAAATTTGTTTTTAAATAAGGTACGTTGGGGTAAGATCGGTGATGGGGCAAGACCGTAGGATTCAAATTCCCGGCGAATTATGCTATATTTTGAAAAGCTAACAATATGCTACACGACGCCATTTCATCCTGCCCCGACCCTCAGTTCGCGCCAGTCACTCCGGCAAGTGGGACCTGTGCTGCGTGGCATTTTATAAAACAATGTAATTTTTGTATTATTTTTGTCCATCCGATCTTTCCCTATCACTTTTATTTACGATTTTTAGCGAGAATATGGCTTCTTTTGTTATTATTTTGTGTGGATACTAATTTTTATGAAGTTATAGCTAAATAAAGCTGGTCCATGCAAGGGTAAGATCGCTGTAGGCCGAGATCCGATGTTTCCCCTCGTGAGTGAAGATCGGATGAATATTATCCGATCTTTGCCTGTTACAAATATGGCAGTGGTTGTTAAACTTTCATTGGTCGTGTATATTTTTTCGTTGATTACTCAAGTGACTATGGGACTCAGTCTCGTTAGCAAGTCTGTATATTTAAAAGTAATAAAACAATACGATGGTTTTATTACTTTTAAGTACACATTAAAATACATTTTTTTTATAGGATAAGGGTGACAAAGGAGCACACAGTCCACCTGATGTTAAGTGATTGCTGCGGCCCATAGACATCTATATCTATCCTCTATTACAAATCAAAATGTAATTTATAATAATTATTTAAAAAATAATTTATAATAATAAATGCCGCTTTGTTAAAATATTTATATCTTCCTTAACTCCTGCATTATCCCAGGGCATTTCGCCAGTCCTTACTGTTATTTTTTTCCCATATAAAATCAAATTCATCCGATCTTTCTCTTATATTGAGTAATTCCATCTTATGTCATAACAAAGTTTGAGAAACATAAAATTACAATTTCTTTATATCAGGGATAAGATCGGATGGCAAGAAACAAAAAAAGAGAAAATCGTTTGGAACATTTATGTTTCTAGTAATTTATAGATCATATTGAAATATGTTTTTTAGCGTTAAAGATAGGACAAATCTCTTTTATAAACTTTTTTCTCTAAGCAGTAGAAGTGGTTTTAAATTTAAGTCCGGTCTTACCCCTTAATGGCCAATTTTTCATTATGCATATAAAAAAGTATGTCTAGTTTTCGCACACCTTTAAAGCAGAAACCGTTGAGTTTACACAAACAAAAGATTCTCAGAGCTAAACTACGTTTAACGATTAACGGTTTGCTCCATGTTCCATAAATCTCACGTATACGAATGTCGAGAAATTAAAGTTTTTGGCAGACTCTTCCAACTATTCGAAAATCCGTCCGGTATTACCCCAACGTACCTTATGTAATAATTTTCGTTTGAAACTATAATAATAAATACTTACTGGATATTTTATTGCATTTTATTTCCCATCGATAACTTATTTTGGTTTTTGTTGGAGGTATTAATAACTAAAACTGTTACCTATTTACTGTTTTAATAAAACAAAATAAATTCAATTCAAATTTAAAAGATTATAATTTGTAGCACTGTAACTTGTACCTACCAAGGTAGGTACAAGTTACAGTGTTCCAAACTATAACCGTATAAAATTAATAGGTACATCCAAAAAAATCCAAAATAAGTAATGACCATTATTATGGTAGTAATAAAAACCTTTATACATATTTACACAATATTTTATTCTAAAACTAGCGGCCGCCCGCGACTGCGTTCGTGTGGGCGGATAAAAAGTAGCCTATGTTTTTAGTTTAACTAACATCTATCTATCAGCTGTGAAAACCGCATCAAAATCCGTTCAGTAGTTTCAGAGATGTGCTGGAACAAACAGACAGACACGAAACAAAAAGCGCATTTTTCTCTTATATTACCTTTATTTTGTTGTTCCCTGTCATTTTAGTCCATTATCCTTAGTGTACAGACAAACCTGGTTCCACTAATTTATTATAGTAATAGATAAAAGATTATGACGGTATTAAATTAAATCTTAACTCCTGAAAACGATAATCAAAAAAACATGTATGTTTACCGTAATATTGAGGTCAGTTACATCATCGAATACAATTGCAATGACATTATACGAACAGAAAGTATATGCATATTTACCATGGAACAATATCGTAATGCACGATTGCTATAGCCACATCATTTTGTGATTTCCGTCGAACACTATCGTAAAGTTAGTTAGCGGTAACATCCTCCATAATTTATGTCAGTAATGGACATTTTCATGATTTTCTTATTTATAAAGAAAACTTTTTAGAAAAATTTAGTATAATTGTAGTGCTAAAATTTTATTTCCTATTTTTGGTAAAAGAAAGTTCTTTCTAGGTTTGATAGTTCTTATGATATTCAGTTTTTATTTGCTCCTGTAAAATTGACATTTTTCTATTACGATTTTGTTCGTCGGGGACGCCGATATAGAACGTATTATAGGTCTAGCTAAATCATATAAGATTTTAAAAAGTGAATTGAGCCCTTATCATGTACCACTAGCATCTAGAATTTTATTTGTTTGTGCTATGGCTTGTAATTTTAGAGAAAGTATCATGAAATAAAAAGCTTTTTTATAACTGTTCATATAGTTTATTATAAAATCTTAAAAAACAATATAAACACGCCTGTTATCCAGAGGGGTAAACAGAGACTACGGACTTCCATTTAACACAATCCTGACACACCTCTCTCTCGCCTCCTTTACATCCATATACATACAGTCATACATGCTCGTTGGTTAAGGGTTCTGTTAATCTGGCCCATTTTCAATTTATTTCCAATTTGGTCGATAAACCTTAGTCTAGGGCATCCCTTCCCGACTCTGCTGTTCACATCTGTAATCTGTAATTTGCTTTGTCACTCTTTCCTTGTTCATTCTTTCCACACAACCAAACCACCAAAGAATTTCTTTCTTAATCCTGTTCACAACATCACATTTTAAAACACACTTTTCTCTTATCACACAATTTCTCACCCTCTCATTCAGATTCAGCCCTAGCATATTATAAAATCTTAATCCTTAAAAAAATATTTGTTGGTTACAGCATTTTTAAAGAAGTTGTAATAAAAATAATCAAGTTTTCTCAACATATCCGTAATGAACTGTTCATCACGTTCAATAAATATTACTTTTAAACTTTTATAGGTAAAAACTAATAAATTACAAAATTTTCTTTTTGTTACATATAATTGCCCTTGAATTTGATAGTAATAAATATTAGTTTTTTTTAAAGTAAGTTGTCCATTGTAATCAAATTGTAGGTAAGGTACTGTAAGAGGACCGATTTCTTGGTTTCTGGAAGCATAAGGGCATTTTACTTCAATTATTGTTTCCGATCCTAGTAAGCCATCTGGAGATGCTCCTAGATAAGGTTGTTCCTGAGACAAAAATAATCCACACTCATCAACAACCACCCCATAAATCTCCATATATTTTTTAATGGCTACTTTTTCATTAATCATCCCATGTGCCATCGCTCTTGTTTGGACTAGATTTTTATTTAATATTTGGTTACAATATTTTACTAAAGTTTCACTTTTCAAATGGCACACAGTGTGAAATATACTTGATGTGATGTGCGTTAGTCGATACTCATGCCACTTTGGATTGAAACTTTGTCCTCTAGTCTCCAGTTCGATTTCCACTAATCTTTCTTCAGTTAAATTTTGTAAATTAATGGATTCTAAAAAAACATCCTGTGCACTTTTTTCCATATATTTATGATCTAAACATATTGCTCGTTGGTTAGCTGCTGGAAATAATTGTTTAAGGGGCATCGATGAGAGTGGATAATTTAAAATTGGAATTGCCTTTTTATCAAAATAAGGGTTTTGTTTTAAATATGGAGAGTAAACAATGTTATGTAAATCCCTTTTGGATGGCAATCTGGAGGCTCGCAATGGTGTGGCATAATATTTTTTTGTAGGCTTATGAAACGTTTGAAGTTGTGATGTCGTAACTTCATGTAGCAGTATTATTTTTTCCTTAACAATATTTTCAGCAGCAAGAAGTACCACAGCTACATGTTTACAATGGGCTTCTTTGCCTTCTCCTGCTGCACATTCACATGTTGCTTCTTCAGGCATTCCATCATTATTTAATTTGATGTTTACCTCATATTGTAGTTGTTTCATAGATGCCTTGCAAAAACCTGGAAGAAGTATTTATATGTTCATATTTAAAATAAAGACAAATATATTACACATCAACTTTAATCACCTAACCATCTATTTATTTTTGAGACATCAACCTTCATTTTCTGGTGAACCTACCTTTTAAGTATGTATCTAGGGCAAATGTTGTTGATCGTAAAATAAGAAGGTATCTTGATTCATACAATTTTACAGCATCACTGATAATTTTAATGAATCTGAAATAAAAAGTATTATGTTAAATATCAAGAGAAAGGATATAACCACTATTTAATAAACTTAGTGGACAAATAATCTTTAATATTTACAAAAACGTTAGAAACAATTATTACCTACCTATCAAAATAACTTTGAATATGTTTTTTGGTAATCTTTGGCAATATCGTGCAGCTATTAACGTCCTGGTAAAGTTCCACAGCAGGAACATCAATTGCTTGACTTTGAGAAGCTAGAGGGCTTTGATTGCCGAAATTAAAATTTCGGTCATATGATTCTAACCTAAAAGCAAAAAATACCATTTATGATTTGAGTAATGTTCTCTAAATTTTCCTAACATTGATCAAAAAATAATTAACACGTTCCAAACAAAACTAGCTCCAAATCCTTAACTTGTATAATATTTTAGTAGATACAAGCCTACCTCTCAACAAGATCTGATTTCTTTCCAGTTATCTTCGCTCCTCGTTTTTTTAGTTCGTCTTTCAATTCTTTAAGCTTCCAGGTACAATACATCTTAAAATGATCGATGGTCAACCAGTTTCAATACAAAGAAAAGCAAAATCTCCTCATGTAAACTAATCTACAACAATTTGACAGCAGCCATGGCGCCGCTGGTGCCCTCTACGATTAGCTTTGCGTGTGGATCCCCATTGCAATTTAGGTTCAATGTTGCCACTTTTCTGCCTTTGCAATTTTCCCACATTACAAGTAGGTTACATCATTGATCCTTGTCACAATCCGGTACGGTCCGTCCCATTTAGCTTGAAGCTTAGGAGATTTCCCTTTGCTGCGAACTGGATTGTGTAACCACACTAGTGAACCTTCATCAAACCCCTTGTTGTTCATTTTGCGGTCATACCGTGTTTTCATCTTCTCAGACGTTTGCTGGCCCGTCTGTCTGACGTGTTCATAAATGTCATTCATTTTGTTCCGCAAGTCGTTTGCATAATCGGTTATACTGCGTGGGGCATCAGGTGGTATTCCGGTGATCAGGTCTGCAGGCAGCCGCAATTCTCTCCCAAAGTTTGCGAAAGCTGGTGTCACTGATGTACTTTCGTGAACAGCGCTTCGATATGACAACAAAAACGTTTGTATGTGCCTGTCCCAGTCTCGTTGCCGTTTTTCCACAACTTTTGCTAGGTCTGATTAAATCTTTCTACCATTCCATCAGATTGTGGGTGGTAAGAAGTTGTTCGTGTTTTCTGAGTACCCATAACTCGGCAAGTTTCCTGGAATATTTGAGACTCAAAATTCCTTCCTTGATCGCTGTGAATTTCTAAAGGTACTCCAAAACGACAGAAGACTTCATGAACTAGTTTATCTGCAACTGTTGAAGCTTCTTGATTTGGAATGGCGAAGACTTCTGGCCACTTAGTGAAGTAATCCATCACTACCATGAAATACTTGTTACCACTTTCAGTTTCTGGAAACGGCCCCGCAACGTCAATGGCTATCCTCTCCCATGGTGCACCAACATTGTACAATTTCAATGCGCCTCTACTACGAATTTGAGGTCCCTTTACAGCCGCACAACTTGTACATTTGCGGCACCAGTCCTCGACATCGTCACGACAGTGGACCCAGTAAAACCGTTCTCGGATCTTCAGGAGAGTTCGTTTAACTCCCAGGTGGCCTCCTGAACAACCACTATGGTACAGCTGTAGAATATCCGGCACTTTAGCCTTAGGGACAACCATTTGCAAATGACACCTGTCTCCCCGACCATTTTCCCATTTACGGCACAGGACTCCATCCTGAATCAGCAAGCTGTCCCGTTGGGCCCAATAGCTTTTCGTGGTCGAACTCATTGCTGAGACGTCGCTCCACTTGGGCTTAGGAGCACTGGCCTTCATCCATTCCAGAACCGGCTTAATGTCCGAATCTTCCTGCTGTGCATGTTGTAGGCTGTCCTTCCACTCATTGCTGAGCTGGTCTGTCCAGAGCATTCTCACAGATACCACTTCCTTACCCTCTTGCCTAGTACAATGCTTGCAATCTTCAGGGCAAGGTCTTCTTGACAATGCATCTGCATTGCCATGAGATTTCCCGCTGCGATGTTCGATCACAAAGTCGTATTCCTGCAGTAGTTCAATCCATCTCGCAACTTGTCCTTCCGGATTTTTGAACTGCAATAACCATTTCAGTGCAGCATGGCCAGTTCGTAAGTGGAATTACCGCCCTAGAAGATATTTGCTAAAATGCTACAAGGACTTTACCACAGCAAGCAATTCCCGTCTTGTGACACAATAGTTCCTTTCCGGCTTTGACAACGACTTGCTGAAGTACGCTATCACAATCTCTTGATCACCATCCCGTTGAGACAACACACCGCCAAGTCCTATATCACTTGCGTCTGTGTCAACTATGAATTCCTTGCCCGCATCAGGGTACCCCAAAATAGGTGTTTTGCACAGACGGTTCTTGAGCTCCTGGAATGCAATATCGCAACTTTCATCCCAGCAGAATTGTCTCTTCTCCTCGGTTAGCTTGTGCAGAGGTTTGGCTATATCCGCAAAGTTCTTCACAAATCGCCGATAATAAGAGCACAAACCCAAAAATGCTCTAACCTGTGTCTTGTCTTTTGGGACCGGCCACTCCTTGACAGCAGCAATTTTCTCTGGATCCGTGCGGATACCTTCTTCCGACACTACATACCCCAAAAAACTAACTTGCCGTTTGAATAGTGAGCACTTCTTTGGACTCAACTTGAGGTTGGCACTCTGGATCTTCATGAGCACGCGTTCCAGGTTTTGAAGGTGTTCCTCAAACGTACGGCCTACGATGATGATGTCATCCAAATAGACGAGACAGGCATCTCCAATTAGCCTGGTAAGTACAAGCTCCATCAACCTTTCAAACGTTGCTGGAGCATTGCACAATCTAAACGGCATGACTTTAAATTGCCACAGGCCCTTTCCTGTGGAGAATGCAGTTTTCTCCTTGTCCTTAGGGTCAATTTCAACCTGCCAGTAGCCACTTTTCAGATCCAGCGTACTAAACCACTTTACGCCTGTAAGCATGTCCAGCGTGTCATCAATTCTTGGCAAGGGATAGCTGTCCTTCTTTGTAACGTCGTTCAGGCGGCGGTAGTCAACACAAAACCGCATGCTGCCGTCCTTCTTCTTTACCAGCACCACAGGTGAACACCATGGACTAGATGAAGGTTCAATAACACCATCCTTCACCATTCCCTCAATCATGGTTTCCACTTCCTTTTCACGTGCTACAGGCAATCTTCTTGGCCGCTGACGAATAGGCAATTCTTGTCCTGTGTTTATTTTGTGTTGAACTAAGCCAGTCTTTCCTATGTCAGCTTCGTTTGACGAGAAAACATTGGCGTACTTGACCGTTTCATTCGGGGAGAGAACGCTGCGACAGTCTTCTAAAAGTGTGGTCACTCTAGTTTGTCCATCCTTGCTGGGGGTCCCAGTCGATAGATATTCGCACCGACGCAACCAATCCACTTCCTCACTAGTACCAACCAATGTGCCTTTTTCTATAATCTGTTCCTGATCACAAAGGTTCAGCACACGTACTCCTGAGATATCGGCGGTTCTGACCAAGGTTCGAGCCACTTTCCATGGAAGGTCATTGTCTACCCTTTCCACGAGTACACAACGAAGAGTTTGCCCAGGATTCCGTGGTAGTCTAACCGGCACAATCGTTTCCGATCTCGGCGGAAGAACAATCTTCTTAAGGCTGTACACATTCCCTGGTAACGCCCCTTCCACGAATATACCTCCTCCTGCGCCCGATCTCTCTCCGGTCGTGTCGGTTTACCGTCTCATCGGATTATGAGAGTAAGGGAATAGAAAGTCCACCTGTGCTTGCGCATACACTTGGGCAGTATAATCCAGTCCTGCGCCGATGACTAGTCTCCGTTGAGACTGGCCGCCGTGATTGAAATTCGGTCTGGAGGATATTATTATTATAATTGAGCCTTTACCATTGTCGGCAAATACGAAAGTCCTTTACCTGTAATCCAGTTTTGCATTTCAGCTTTAGTGCTTGCCTTTATAGGTGCTTCGTCAACCACTAGTGTATGGTAAGAGGCATTATCCATGACCACAATTGACTAGGAAGGTATGTTCGGTATCAGCATTTTACACTTCATGAAATCGGTTGTATATCATTATGATAGTCGGCCGCTCGTGACAGATTTAAAGATCAGCTGAGCATTGGGTATGAAATCCATAGCACCACCCGCGTGGACTATAATCCACCGGGGTCCTTTAGTCTGACGATAATACGCCTTCTTCAGATTCGTTTTGCCAGCATTTTCCGGCGCAATATGTCTCGTCCAAAGGAAAAAAACAGAACATTTCCGTCTTTTTATCTATTATCTATCTAATTCTACGCAACCCTTTGAGCCCCGTCGGCCGTTGCGAATTGCATGCCATCAATTATTATAGCTTAAATTTGTTCCAACAACGTTATATTACAAAGGCATGCAATATAATGTCACGGAAAAGTACTAAAATTCTTTACACAAACAGAAGCCATTTTCTTTATGACGTGCAAGCGCGCAAGTGCTCGTAACCCCTCTATCTTTCATACTTTAGGGTTAGTTATCAATTCTTAAAAAGGCATGCAGGAGAAAATCGGAGAATATTTTCTGTCACCATCTCCTAGTCTATGTTGTAAGCATGAAGTCTGCAGCGATTTAGACGTGGTCGATGAGTTGGTCTGTGTCGGCATTACCTATAGAGTCACATTCAAGACTGCCGAGGCGTCGAGAAAAGTTGTTATCTCTGACGTATACGCAAACTCGAGGTCGAAACACAAAGGTGTTCTAATTTGTACCTCAGACAGGAGAGAAGTATCGACCGGAGGGGACATCTGCGTTTGGGTTAGAAAGAGCAAGGTCGGCTTCGCCGTCTTCAGATGATACCTAGTGGACTTCGTTAACGTTCGAATGAAATCCCCTAATGTTGCAGAAATTCACGGATAGCGTGGCAGGAGTCACATTTGTCTTATTGCTCTACTTGCCACATGCAGTATTAGTTTTGAGCGGGATTTCGCCCCGCCCCTATCCAGAATTCGCGAGGCAGCTGGATCACCAGCGCTAAGGAAGAGTAGGGTAGCTTGAGTGTGTATGCTCGGCAAGGGATTCTTTAATACCAGAGGTGCTTGTGCCCTCCTGGGATGGTTTCTTATTTAATTACACTACCATGTTAAAAGGGAGAGGGGCTAAGCCTTCGTCCACCTGCACTTACCAGGCGAAGTAAACTTCTACTTCACGCTGGTTATCTGTAAGGTCGTGGTCGACCCATTCATAACATTCATTAATTAAAACTCTACATTTCATATCTTACCAGGTCGTCACTCCATCTAGTTTGGTCCACCCGTGCGTCAGTAAAAGCTGCCGTGTGGCTCTTCCACTGTTATGTTGTCTGCCTATATTATTAACTGTAATCTACTTCATCATTATTTATGCGTTACACATAATACTTTGTAGTAATTAACTTTGCTTTACTATGCCCTGCAGTGGGCGACAAGAAGCTGATGATGAAGTATTTTTTCCCCTTTGAAGTATTTAGTTTAGTTTAAATAGGGCCCCAATTAAGCACTAAGTAAGTAAGCACTAAGCAGCTCTTGAAGTGAGTAGTCGCGTAATGAAACCTCAAATATTGTCTAGAAATATTATTATTGCTATTATAAAACGAAGGAGACCGATCAAGAAGAGAAACCGAGAATACTGGGTGCATTCTATATACAGTGACAGATTTCTTCCCCCAGCTTTTTCATTAAATTTACATCTTTCATCATCATCATCTTTATCAACTATAAAAGAGATGATTGGACAAGTAGCGCCATTTTTAAGCGTGCGCACTTTTTTCCGCGCCAATATTTTGAGTGAGGGTGACGTTATAGACCGAGTCGGCCAACTAAACAAGTACCGTACTGATTTAGCAGATGGCCGATAGTTAGAAATCATGTAACTGATTTATCGGCCGATAACTAATCGTTATAATATGCGCACTTGCATACATCTCAATACTGATTAAGAAAGCGACTAAACTCTCGCGCGATAGAAAGTCTGCAGTGTGCGGTGTCTCTTACTCGTCCACTTCCTATGTAGTTTATTTTCTGTCTTATCTCGTCTATTTTCTACTTCATCGTTATTCTAATTCGATCAAATGAAAAATAAGTTGAGAAAAATTATTTTTTACTTGTCTGGGTATTACATTAAACAAATATTTTTTCGCAATATAAATATTACATATAACTTTAAATTTGACTTTCCACTAACTTGAATAAAATAGATTTTTGTCAATACTTCCGTTTAATTTCTTTTTCTGTTGACATTACTTTTGTTTTGTTTTACAGGGCAATCGTAAAATAGTATATTTCATTACGAGTGCGGAAAGCCTGTCAGGCCTGTCACTGCAAAGAGTTCCGACAAATGTCTACCTGAGCCGAGGCGCAGCCGAAGGTGAGGGTTGACAGTCGGAACAAGTTGCAATGACGGTTTCGCACTTTGAGCATAGAAAATAGGTTCCATTAACACAACAACACAGCACAACACAACACAGAACAACATAGGTTGTACTGAACAACTATTTTTAATACAGTTGCGAAAAAATGAAGCAATAATAAAAAGTGAAATAGTAAAAGAATATAAGCAGAGATGTTATTGTTTTCTTCACCCATTCTGGATAGGCAAAGGGAAGTATTTCAGTAGAATTTTTTTATTGATATGAAATGAAATTTAATGAGATGAAATGAAATCTAACCTAACTCATTGAATCAAATCATTAAATCTGATATTGAAACAAATTAGTAGCTTATTTTTTAGAAATATTTGCATGAATCATAAAAACAAAGCATAAAAACTTCAATGAATTTTTTTTTAGTAAAAACTTCGTGGTTGGTTTTTTTCATTTTAATAGACATTATTTGACAGTTGGGAAAGAGAACGCACGAGTTCGGAAAAGGTAAAGAAAAAGCTCGAGTATGTAATAGGTAATAGCCTACATCTCGAACGCTATACGTCCCTGCAATACGCAACTTTTTGAGCAACTGTATTATAAATTAATTTTGTGACGTTCTAATTTATAATTTTTACTGTTTATCACTGTTTCCACGATTTTTAGATAAATGTTTTAATAAGCTTCCTGATGGGAAACGTCTCTAAATGGGACGCAATATAATTAATGAAAATGCGGGAAAATGACACAAAAATGTAAGAATCTGCAGCTCTATATAAAATGAGAAATGGTATGCGGGGGTGACCAGAAAACCCTTTTCCATGCGGTGTGATCCACGAGGCGACTACGAGGTGGGGGGTGCTAGATTATTTCCTAAGATAGTTTAGACTTCCGGTAGACTGATTCAATTTAAATAAATAAATTTGAAGGACCAGCGGTAATTGCATGTTTACGAGACCAAATAAGCTCACCTGCGATTTTCATCACAATTGGTTGGAACGCGACTACGTCAGTTGCCTACAAGGTTATGGCATGCAACTCCCGACGGACTATTTAAGATAATGACAGGACACGACCCCTAGCTCATCCGCTTACCTTTTACCATATTTTGCATTGAGTTATACAAGACTAGAGGAGCAAACCACATTACCGCGCGCCGAAAAAAGTGAAGCCACTAT